GGGCGCCACGGGCTCCGCATAATGTAGACGACGAACGATGCGTCGAGCAAGGACTCGGAGGGCGGCCACGTGGACCGCGGAAGGGTGGTTGCAAGGATGCGGAGCCGGGCGCGGCGCTTGAACGTGGAGGCCATGAGGAAATGAGCAGCAAGACCAAAACCGGCACTTTGCAGCGCAAAGATGCTGCCCCACTTGAGGGGTCCCGTGTCAGAGTAGAGCACGTACAGGTAGTCTTGAATGAGGCCGGTGAGGGTGGAGAAGACCAGGCGAATGCGCGGGGTCCGGGAGACACATGGCATCCCGTCACAATGCACGTCCCAGATGCCGCCGGATGGACGGCCGCTGAGAGCGGCCGTAGTCAGTCACTGGCCGAGCTCGTCGCTGCGGGCCCGGACGGCCGCGACAAGCTTGACGACGTCCGTGAGGCGGGTGGCGTCGAATTTGACCCCCATAGTCTCGACCGCCTTCTTGAAGGCTGCGCTGGCTTGTTGATTAGCTCTGCCCGGGGTCTTGGTGCGGCCGCCCGTGGATTCGGGGGCGAGCGCCTTGAGGGCGGTGTGGTAAGCCTTGAACTTGTTGCGGAGCTCCTGGGTGTCGTCGGACGTGACGTCAGTGTCCTCCAGGGCCCAGTCGAGGGACTCGGGTTGGCGGGCGTCGTGGAGCTTCGTGAAGGAGTAGTTCTGCAGGTCCTCCAGGGTGATGCTGACAGCGCCTGCCGCCGCGGCGTCTTGGGCAGCCGCGGCGGCGGGGCCCGGGGCCGCGGGGCCGGGGGGCCGCGCGAGGGCGCGGATGGACGCGGCAGGCAGGAGGGCGGCCTCTTGCGAGCCCTCTTGAGCCTCGATGATGGCCTGGCCGTCGTCGACCACGCTGGCTGCGACCTTGGAGATCATGTCTGGGAGGGCGTCCTTCTTCATCGTGTATGGGGAGTTCCGGGTGAGCCATGTGAGAAAACATTGAAGTTGTATGTGTCGGCATCCATGGGGACCAGTGGCACGATCTTCTGGAAGTTCCGGCGGGCCTGGGACCTCATGACGTACGGGATGTACTCCCCTGGATTCTCAGTGAGGGCACTGCGCGTCTTGGCCGTGCAGAGAGCCTTGCAGCGACGCATCATCTCGGCATTGCATGCAATGCGGGCGTCCTTGAAGCGCGGGTCCTCCCAGGCGAGGTCTGGCTCAAAGCCAGGGGGAACGCCGTAGGCGACGTTGCGGATGGTGAGGGACACCTCATCCTCGTCGAACACCAGCTTGCGAAGGTCCTCGTGACCCAGCCCACGAATCGCGCGGCGAACCCCCTCCAAGGTGGAGTGGCCGTGGGTGGCGGGACCTGGCAGAGAGCACTGCGCGGCGCGGGGGCCCCCATACCCAGCTTGCTGCATGAGGCCGAGGAGCTGGCGCGCGACTGGATCGACGACTGCCTCGAGCCAAGGCGCGGGCATGGACTGAGGAGGCTGGCCAGCCAGAGGCGACGGTCCGCCGGGGGGCACCGGCGGGAAAGGGGCAGCCAGGGGCAGCA